GGCTTATCCGCGGGTGCGGCTTATCTGCGGGTGCGGCTTATCTGCGGGTGCGGCTTATCTGCGGGTGGGGCTTATCCGCGGGTGCGGCTTATCTGCGGGTGGGGCTTATCCGCGGGTACGGCTTATCTTCGGGTGCGGCTTATCTGCGGGCTTTTACGGTACTTTATTCTCATGACTTCAATGTTTGATTCAGGGGTAAAACTGTAGCGCTTAGCACTGAAAAGGGTAGGCGCTATATAAATATTTTTATTGTTATTATTATTATTATTATTATTATTATTAGGGAGAATGAATATACTAGTCACTCTTAGGTCAGTGTCCAAGGGTCAATAGCTTACTAGAGCGTATATGAGCCGGATTGTTGGCCGGGGTTAGTGCCTTAATACGATTTTTTTTAATCTTCTAAAGTCAGTCGGCCCACACGGACCAACTAATGCTTAATAATAAAAATACTTTATTTGTACACGTAACACCAAGGAGCTCCTAAGTGCTCGTTAAAACGTGCACGTGTGTACCTACCATCCCACCCCGGGGAGGACACCCTCACACATGCAGTAATCTCGTGCGTGGGAAATTAATGTCTACTACCCCTAACCCTGCAGGAAATGGGACCTACGGTTTTTTTTCGTTCTTATCGGAGAAGACTAGAATATCTATCCATTTCTTGATGTTATAGTAAGGTAGCAAATTCTCCTCAGTTATTTTAAGACCATGAGTATTGGTCCGGCCGGGGCTCGAACCCTCGACCTCCCACACATCACAATCCGGCGCTCTGACCAATTGAGCTAACCAGGAGGCGGTTACGTCTCAATAGTGTTGTTCAAGTTCATTTCACTTGGAAAAAAAATTGAGTTTCACCGTAATCACCAACATTAAATGCAAAGGATACACTAACTCGCAGAAGCAGCAACTAGTCTAGGCAGGTACGTAGTGTTTACTAGTCTAGGCAGATAGTGTTTACATGATTTTCCCCCAAACAACAGTCTAAATGAAAAAATTCAAAAGAGATTAATAAATAATTACTTAACGAATTTGCGAATTAGTTTGGTTCACAGGAGTATTCAAAGAAGAAAATGACCTTTCAACTACGTCATAAATTTCGATTATTACTATTATTGTTTTAACAAATTAAATAAGTAGTTCTTAAAGACTGTCAAGATGTTTAAAATCTTGGATAACAGTACCGAAGAACATCAGCATAGGAGTACTGTTAAGCCAACATGTACAGCAATCTTTCCCAGAGATATTTATTCAAAATACTTATTTTTTATGTAAAGTAGTTGCGTCAGCGTTGAAACTTCCTGTAAAATTTGCCTTCAGACTGAAAAGATCTAAAAAGTTTGGAGGTGCCATTAAAGAAGCTGTTAGAGTTGCTAGATCTTCGTCCAATGTTGAAAAGACACAGAGAATAAAGAAATGAAAGGGCATATCCGATAAAAGTTACCTTTCACGAAGTGTGGCATTGTTCCAACAGCTCTTCCCAACAAAATTTATGTGCAGTTTGATAAAATATATTTTGATTACAAAACGCGTTATCATCCAAGCCATTGCATAATCTCCTCACACGATACACCCTCTCTTGAGGTGGTGGCTTTTCTCATAACAGTTTCATTTTTTCACAGTTAAGTTCTATTTTTTCTTTTTAACAGTCCTGGTCTATTTTTGAAGTTAGTTACCAGATTTTTTCCTATTGAGACATACGCATCACGTGTCATGTCTCTTGACGGCCACATTGTGCGTTTAAAAGTGCGTTGGTGCGGATCATAAGGCAAACGTAACGGTACGAGAAGAATTGAGACGGTCTAATTCAACTCCATATAAGGAGAAGTTACATGCTAATCACTTCTGGAAGTTAGAGGGTTAAGTTGTTGCTTGGTCACCAAATGGCTTGAGAAAACTTATTGACACTTTCGAGTAAAACATGACTTTATTTTCAATAATGTCACAAGGCATGGAACCTTAGTCTAAAACCTCCATAACTTTGCTTCTATGGTAAATTCATAGCCCCACTCTCCAAAATGCTGTATGGTGTAAACAATCAGAACAACAAGCGCTATTATCATACTGAATTCCCTGAAGCATACACCTACACTGATGATACAGGCAGTAACATGGATGGGGGGGCTACGCAATGTTTACAACTTGTTCCTGTTTACAGAAAGAAAAAAAATACTGAAGCACATCATTTGTTCCCTAACGTCTCTCATACACAAAGGATGTAATCGTGACTGTAATACGTACATTTAATGAACAATTAGAAAACTCAACTATACAAAATTATAACTGTGACCGTTAACAATAACTTAAAAATAGAGGCTTAAACTCCACTTCTTTTTCGCCTACTGTTCCTGTTGGAGAATTCTAGCAGGCCAGTCATCAAAATCAAAAGTAACTATAGCAGTGATTTACAATATGAAGCAGTTACATTTTAAAAGAAGTGACCATTTCTTTTGCAGACAGTGATTTCGTAGAGCAACTGTGGAAACATGTGGAAAAACAATGGCCAATTCAAGTAAAGAATTGCAATTTTAAATGTTCAGGCCACAGTAGCAGAAATCAGCGAGATGTTAGTCTTAGAAGAAGGATCAAGAAATCTGTTATTTGATGGTTTAAAGTGTGATATACACAGCCATTTTGCTTCCTGCTTGCAAAATATTTAGTAAATAAACCCCTTCGGGCGGCTGGTTTGTCGGCTGATAATGTCCGCGGCTGAGGGATTGTCCGAAAAATGGATATTTGGCCGAGAAGCGAAGCTTCGAGGGCAAATATGAATTTTGAGGACAATCTCTCAGCCAAGGACAATACCAGCCGACATACC